TCACTTAAGCTTGATATACAGTTCAATGCGAGCGTGAGCGTGAACTTTCGCAAAGGCAAAGAATTCCATTTGTATTCTTATGGACGCTCACACACATCTGTCAACACTTGCCGTTCACATGCGAATGCTTTGCGTACGCACCAGGGATTGGCATTGGTTGATCGTCAACTGTTCATACTCATTCAATACCGCTGCTTTGTATGACTGAGCAGCGGCGTTGGCTTAGTAGTATCGATACCTAAACGAAATTAGAGGATGACTGAACACGAGCGCATTGCGTGCTGTCTTGCAAATACAGCCACCACAAGTGAACGATGCTTATAACTGCTCATACTGATATTGACTTCGGCAAATCTGTACTCTGAATGATCGTGCACGAAACCAGCAAACGTGGCAGTTGAACGGCTCCGAAAACATGAGAGTCATCATTTGTTGCAGAAGTCGTTTGACTTGTTGCTGAAAATCATCTGACTTGTTGCTGAAAGCCATTTGACTTGTTGCTGAAAATCATCCGACTTGTTGCTGAAAATCATCTGACTTGTTGCTGAAATGACGACGAATGTGGTAAAGGGTAATTTATCGTCTCGTATGCATGTATGTATGTATTTATAGCGCGTCTACCATTCAATTGCATTGCTCACTGCTGGCTAGTTGTGAATATGCATACGTACGTACATATCAATGCTTCATTTCAAACAAGCAAGTGTCTTTGAATGTTTTTGAACTACAGTATCATCACTTCGGCAACACGTCAAACGCGCCTTCAGCAACAAACCAAAGGCGGTGGTTTGACTTCTGCAACAAATCAAGTTAGCTAACTGCGGCATCTTGCCTTCGCCAGTCTTTCACATAAGCTGTCATGCTTTCGGCAACCGTCCAAAGCAGTATCGTGCTTCGTAGTTGCTTCATCGTCACAATCATGATGCAACGATTACATGACGACAACACTTTCGCACACTCGTGATATTTCAATTAAATTGGCGTCTAAAAATTAACTTGGAGCAGGTGTTTGTTTTTCTGGTTGATATTTTCGCGAAATATTTACAAAAACCTGCAATTTTTAAAATATAGACTGTGCTGCAACAATTCTAGACATCATTTTTCAGTAATTCTTCTTTTGTTTTCCTGAAATGTGTTTTGTGCATGCACACAGAGACTTTTTACAATTACGTCATATTTTATAGTTAAAACGCTCGCGTTTATTGAATTTTAATGCAATTATCCACTTATTAATAATTTCCACAAATTTTATGCAAAAAATACTAATTTTTATGCAAATATTCACTTTTTCACTAATTTTTCCCCATTAAATGTAAACAAACAATGCGTGCACAACGATTAGCAAACGACAGTGCCGTACTTATCAGTTTCTGCATCTTCTACGATTTGCCGATAACTAGCGGATAACACAAGTGTGCAGATCTCCTCTGAAATGCATGTGCTCGGCTCAAAATTTCAGGGCGAGACGATAACGCAACTATGATTGGACGACAAGTGTGCAGATAGCCTAATAACGAAGATATTGGTCAAAATAAAAAGCTCACGCTCACGCTCACATTGAACTGTATATCAGGCTTTAAATGTTGCATTTTTGCTGTAAAATTTACGATGTATGAAAACTAAAATGTAATTGTTATTTTCCTCAAATATTTATTAATTATGAAACTTTATCCCCCACTTATTTCTGTGCATAGTTCTAATACATGTGAAAAAAAATAATCAAAATGACTTCTTCCAAATAACCGATGCCAGATCGGAGATTTATTAGGCGTATTTTTAATAGCTTTAGTTGCTATTTTGAGGATAAATCAAATTTGTGGAAAGTGAAGTAAAACGAAATAAAATTAAGTGACGAAGTGAAGGCTTCTAAAGTGAAGTGAAAAACTTCAATTTAAGTGACAGAGCCACGGTACCGTGGGAAAGCCGTATTACCCTTTACAGTACTGAAATACTAGCAAACCACGCGTCTTCACAGGCGAAAATTATTGCGTACCATAAGTCATTTTGTTTGCCAGATACGTATAAGTTTTATCAGTGGCAATATTTGTGTGTGGGGATTTGTAATCTTGGTAAAAGCATTTGTGTGCAAATATGCTTAAAAAATTAAAAAAGTGTTATTTCGCATCCATGTCCATAATCAAAAATAATACAGACCCAGCGGCGGATCTAGACATTTTTTGGAAGGGGAGCGAGTGTTTTCCGGGAAAATTTTCCACTAATTTTTTTACTTTAAACGAGTAATTCTTATATATGTATATGTATATATATATATGATATTTCGAATAAAGTTTCGAAATATGTAGCAATAAAAAGTCTGTGCAATTTAAATACTAAGGTGATTTATTGAATTCAATGTAGATTAATACAACACGGGAACCGCTTTTAATTGTGCTCTAGTACGAAGTGAAGTGCCACGTCAACATATGTCAAAATGGGGAGTGGCCATCTCGTTCATTAACGAAGATTAATATAACATTTTCCCTCCTCCTCCCTGAGATTCATAGTGTGGAGTATCTCAAGCGATCGACCGGATTTTTGTTTCTTTCAGACCGTCGAAGCGTAGTTTGTGCTTGCTGTTCTCCAACGTGATTGCTCGGAGTTGGTGAGTCAGTTGTTTGTACGGTGCCTCGAGCTACTTCCGATAATTTGCTTGGTGTGGTGGTGGGTTCTTCAACTGACTTTGAATTTGATGCGCGGACCTCAACTTCCCAATCGCCCTCTTCGTTTTGTTTTCGAAAATTCGAGGGTGAGTTTTCGTCGGTTGCATTTCTTATTTGGTTTTGGTGGCGTCGAATAGAGTACCTGGATGTAGCTATTACATACATCAGCCGCCCGCAAATTTCCTTGATCTCACCTCGCAACCAGCGTTCTTTCCCTGCAGAGTTACGAGCATAAACTGGTTGGCATAGTCGGAATTTAGCATGTCTGTTACTTGAATGCTGCTCTTTAGGCAGCAATGCTGAGAAGAGAATGCGCGGTTGTCTTCCACGCAATAACCCCGCGGGTGACTTGTCCGTTGTAGGATTAGGCGTAGCCCTGAACGTCACAAGATATTTCAAAAGAGCAGCTTCGTCGTTTTTTGTTTTTCTAAAATTTTTCGTGAATGACTCCTTAAACGTTCTTACAAATCGTTCTGCTAACCCGTTTGAAGAGGGGTGGAATGCTGCGATTTTTAAAAGTTCGATGTGATTCAGCTTACAAAAGTTTGTAAACTCTGAAGACGTTAATTGTGGACCATTATCCGTGACTAGTATTTGGGGGAGTCCTTCAATGACAAAAATTTTCTTAAGGGTGGAAACTGTTGCGTCGGTTGTAGTGGCTTTCGTTTTTACTACGTAGGGAAACTTGGAAAACGCGTCTACCAAGATAATCCACATAGATCCGCAAAACGGACCTGCGAAATCTAAATGCACTCGCTCCCACGGTTTTGTTGCCTCAGGCGACGATGAAAATTCACGTTTCAGTTGACTAGCAGAGGATAAGCATATTGTACAGGATCGGCATAAGTTTTCGATGGCATTCTCAATTCTTGGAAACCAAACATAACGTCTTGAAATCTGTTTCATACGCGTGCTGCCCCAATGACCGTCGTGTAGCATTTTTAATATATTTTGCTGCAGGTCCTTTGGTATTACTACGCGCGTGTAGTCAGTTTGCAGCAAAATGACGCCGTCTTGATACGGTAACTGAAATCGACGATCGAAAAAAGGTTTCAACCACTGCTGGGAGTCATTTAGTCGTAAAGGCCATCCCTCTATGATGATTCTCTTAACGATTTTTAGAGTTTCGTCTTTTTCGATATGTTCCGCGATGACTGCCGCACTTAGTGGAACAGCACTAGTAGATATAGTATTTATCTCATGAACATCATGCATAGCACATTCATTTAAGTCAAAATCATTGTCATCTCCTACAGGTAGTCGCGAAAGCGCGTCAGCGTTGCTATGTTGAGATCTGTGGCGATATCTGATGGAGTAATCGTATGCTTAAAGAAGAATAGCCCATCTCAGGAGGCGATGCATGGTCATAACAGGAAGTTTTTTGCTAGGACTAAAGATCGTTGTCAAGGCTTGGTGATTAGTGATCCAACTCAAAATGCCGACCGTAAAGAAACTGATGAAAGCGGGTCACGCCGAATATTATCGAGGGAGCCCCTTTTTCGATTTGTGAGTATTTGGATTGACCCTCTGAAAGTGTTTTAGAGGCTAAGGCAATAGGCCTTTCTTGGCCATCAGAGTAGCGATGAGAAATCACGGCGCCGATTCCATTCTTGGATGCATCAGTTGCTAAAATGATGGGAGTTTTCCGTCATAGTGTACTAAGAGTGTGGCTTTGATAATTTCATTTTTCAGTGTAGTGAAAGCTTGCTCCTGTTCAGCACCCCATCGATATTTCACCGTCTGTCTGGGTAAAACGTTCAAGGCGCTAGCTTTTGACGAGAAATTGTGAATAAATTTGTTGTAATAATTAAGTTTACCAATGAAGCTTTCAACTTCCTTAACACTAGTAGGTCTCGGCATCATTTTAATCGCTTCCAGTCTTTTTTTGGAAGGTCTAATACCATTACTACTAATTACATGCCCCACATATTCAATGTGTTCGCTTGCAAAAATACACTTTTTATACCGACAACGCAGTCCGTATTTCTCAAAACGTTTAAAAAGTTCATGAACGTTGGCTAAATGCTCCTTATGGGTTCGCTCCGTAATAATTACGTCGTTGAGGTACATGGCGCATCCTGTCAACCCGGCTATAACCTCTGGGGACACCAAAGGGCAACCTTTGGTACAGATATAGACTGAAAGGAGTTTAACGAACAATTCCTCAACGTTAGGAATTGAGTATCGATCAATTTCTAATTGCGGGTTGATTCCCACCTTAAAATCAGCACGTATTCGGATTCGGCCATCCGGTTTTCGTACCGTAACCATTCGCTAGCGTTAATCGGCTTTAGCACATTTACAGACACTAATCGTTCGATTTCAGAACGAACCTCATCATGCATCGCAAATGGTATGGAATAAGACTTTCTAAACTTCGGTTTGGCATTTCCCTTGAGGACTATATTAGCTTCAAACATTTTACATTGACCAGCGCGTTTTCAAATTCTTATCGTGTTAGTGGCGTAAGTGCGGAAGACGGTTGATTGTGAGTTGAATGTGAAATTCGAAAATAGAGATAACACAATTAAATTTTTTGTTATACCAAGTATGGCGCAGAAGATCATACTTGGAATCGACTTTTGGATAAAATTTCAAATAGCTCCAAATATTATTTCGGAAATAATTCTTGATGCAAAACCTTGTGAATACCCTTTCTTTAACTGTTAAACAACAACGAAGGTTAGAAATAAGGTCCATTCAATAACTTTTCCAGTAAGTACTTGCAGCAAGAGAAAATTTTCAGAAAAAGTTATTGAACGCAAAACTAGTAAAAGCTTGCAACTTAAGCCATTTTGAAACTTTCTGACGGTTAAGTTTTGGCGCGCAATTTTCTTTTTAATTGGGAATAGTTCCCATCGTCATAAAAATAAAAAAATATGCAATAGATTTATATTTTTCATCCATATTTTCATTCCACTAATTAAGTTTTATCAAATCATCCTGTTTTCTGAAGTAACATTTAATTTTAACGCTCATTTTATATTTAAAGGTAGGATTTAAAAAAAAGCTATGTCTAAAATTAAGCATTTCTGTGATCGTTTTTTGACGTATGTATGTTTCTTGAATGTAAACCAATTTAAATCCGATAATAAAATGCTTTACTTTAGACACAATCATAAATTTTAATGCAACCTTTAAATACAAAGTGAGCTTTAACGTTACAGGTTACTTGAGAAAACGGCCCTTAAACAGTTTGTTTACATTTGAATTTAAAACATAACCTTACTTTTTGACTCCTGCAAATTCCTGCTGGAAAAATTTTTACTTGCAAGAATTTGCAGCTCTCTCGGACTGTTAGGCTCTCGAATTCGCTCTCTCTTGCAAATATTTTGGGGTATTGAATGCATTTCCAGTAAAAACTTGCAAGTACTAGTAACAATTCGTAACAATTTTTTGATATTGAATGGACCTATAGTTAAAAATAGTTTTCCTATCTTCGAGAAGAAAGGATTAGGCAAAACCTCACTGTTGGAGTATGTTATTGAACTCCAACCTGGTGTCCGTCCGATTAAACAAAGATATTTTCCCATATCTCAAGCAGTAGAAAAACTAGTGCACGCAGAAATCGACGAAATGATGAAACTTGGTGTAATCGAAGAATCTCCCATTAGTCCCTTGCCCAGTCCGATTGTTCTAGTGAAAAGGCCGAGTAAAGTACGTCTGTGTTTAGGCTCGAGAAAAGTTACTAGTGTTACTGTCAAGGACGCATATCCCCTTCCCCACATTGATGGTATTTTAAGCAGAACACCTAAGGCAAAATATATTAGTTCACTAAACTTGCGTAGAGCCTTTTGGCAAATCCCCCTTGCAAACCAATCCCGTGATTATACCTGTTTTACTGTCCCAAATCGTCCGCTTTATCGTTTTTGCGTAATGCCTTTTGGCTTATGCAACGCTCCTTAAGCGCCCTGATGCTTGATGGATCGCGTCATCCCTCCATAGTTAAAGAATCCAGTGTACGTTTATTTAGACGACCTCCTCATTGTGTCCGAAGATTTTGACACTCACATGTCCGTATTGTCCGAGGTTGCTCACCAGTTAAGAAAGGCCATAAATGTTGTTAAAAGTAAATGGGCGGGTGGTATCGGCGTTTTGTTGACAACTTTGCAACGATTACTACACCGTTGTCTAACTTGTTGAAAAAGGGTAAAAGCTTTTCATGGATGAAGAAGCCCAAGACTCATTCGAAAAATTAAAGAAAATGCTATGTTCTGCGCCAGTGTTGACTAGCCCAAATTACGCGAAACCATTTCTTATTTAGTGCGATGCCAGTAAGCTTGGTGTTGGTGCAGTGCTTTTGTAAGTTGATGACGAAGGTTCCCTATTGCCTACTACTCTCAGAAATCCAATAAACCACAAAACAATTATAGTGTTACAGAATTAGAGTTTTTATCAGGAATTCTGAGTCTGAGGAAGTTTATAGAGTATGTTGAGGGGCAGGATATCACCATCATCGCTGATCACGTCAGCTTGCAATGGCTTATGCGGCAAACGGGCTTGTCCAGTCGACTAGCTCGATGGGCACTCATGTTCCAAGGTTACCGATTTAAGACAGAGCACCGAAAGGGCTCACTTAATGTCGTGCCTGATAGCCTTTCACGCCAGAGTTTTGCGGAGATAAATAAAGTAGAAGTCCTCCGTTAAAACATTTGAAGTCATCCGCCTTTTCGTCCGCTGAATAACAAAAGTTATTAAGTTATGTCCAAAGCAATTAAAACCGCATACCCGATCTCTACAGCCTGCAGCAGTTAGTTAGTTCTGCTGCTCCTAGCCCACCCTACCATGGCTTTGTGGTTGGTATAAAGACCCAATTAACTCCCACACTCCCTTCAGAAATTAGACTAAAAATATGAAATTTACAAATTCATATTTATATTTATTACAATTATTCAGCTAATGGTAAGTATATACAAAAAAAACGAAAAAAAAGGATTTTTGCAAAATAACCTACTTGAAAATTCGAATGTCAATTATTCATTACTGTCCTTATTACAAACATATTTTTTCAGGCTTAAGCTACATTTAAAACCATAACCTACTTCAACTCTTTGTTTTATGTGTCTTTGACCCTTGTTCATTCTAATATACTTATCTCATATGTCTTAAATATATGCCTTAATATAATAACGAAATCTATATCCCTAGTATGCAATGTATATCTATAGTGCAAGGGCAAGAGCATGTCCATCACGATTTTGTCGTGCAGTCCTACGTTATACATGCCTTCGTATGAATTCGCCTTGATGACATTGGGTGCGTTCGACAAGTCAAAAATTTGTAATAGTTTTCCAAATTTTTACTGGATGGCGTTCGATAACGACAAAAAATTATCCAACACACAAAAATTGAGAGAGCAAGCGTTCATTTTGATGCAAGAGAAGCGTTCATTTTGTACTGGCAAAATTTTTGTCTGCAAAAATTATCCAACACGAAAACATATGATCACATAACATATGGTTGCAATTTTTGTAAACAAACAAAATTGCATTTTCCGAGTTTTGGTATTTATATGCTTTTTGGCTGCCTGCTATGTGACTTTATGATAGCGCCAACTAGTTTTTACTTCTAGAAATGTTCCTGGCGAACATTGAACGTTCACTTTCCTTTTTTCTCTATGGAGGCAACATGAATTTCAGTTTGTTTACAAATAAAACATAAACAAAGACAGCTGGTGTGTCTTCTTCTTCCGGTTTTTGCAAGTAATGGCTAATTTCCTGTTCGTTTACTTTTTTTGCTTTTTCATCTCTTTGGGAGAGAATTTTCGCTTACTCTCTTGATTTTGATTGTTGGCTGGTGTTGGCTAATATTGTTATCGAACGCAACTATTATTTATTTTGCATAGTTAACTTGCGGTAGAATTTTTCTGTCTTTGTCGGATCCGGATTCTTGTTCAAGTGAATAAGTCAATAAGAACATTAAATAAACTGGAACTAATTCCAAATTGACTGTAGTGTTTTGAAAACCGATATTCTTCGCTGCAGTCTTCCGTATAGATAATAGATATGGCAAATAAACCGTAATTTTTATTGCATATTTATAAATGAAATTTCCAGAAATGGCCTAATCTGTCATTCTTTCCCTAATAGAATAATTCGGGCTTGTTCATCGTAACTGTAATTGATAAAAGCACAATGTCCCAAAGTTCATCCACTTTTAACAAAGACCTTCAGAAGAAATATCCATGCTTTAGTGTTGGTGAAAATAATTCAGTTACGAGATGTAATGTGTATGAATGTATAGGGATGCAGACGATGCATCGATGTTTCGTCCAAAAATATCGATGTTAACAGGGATGAAAAAGTAGATACAATTGTACCCTTTTCCGACGTTTGATGACTTAAAGGTACATTAGGTACAGTCACTAGATTTTAGGTACAATCATCTTTTGATCAGATGCATTTTTAGTTTTTTTTCCTTTACCGTGCTAATATATTTACTTATAGGCACGGGAAAAGCTCCGCTTTCATTTTGAAGAATAAACAATTATAAAGAAAAGTGGCCAATAGGAAGAAATAAAAAAAGTTATATTATGTATTATCTTAAACATTTTACATTGCATTTAGAGCGCCCACTACGAAAAATTAATACTTTACTTAATAATAATAATAATAGATTGGCGCTTACACATATGTTAGTTTTTGGCCGACTCTCTCCTCCGATTTGTGGCCTGCGCCTTGATGTTGTCACACAAAGCGGAGGGACCTACAGTTTTACGCCGACTCCGAACGGCGATTGTATTTTTATGAGAAGCTGTTTGTCATGGCAGAAATACACTCGATACACACTTACCATTGCTTGCCGAGGGACGACCGCTGTTAAGAAAAAACCTTTTTCTATTTTTTTGCGATGTTGCTTTGACCAGGGCTTGAACCCAAGTGCTGATGAGTGAAAGCGCGCACTGCTTACCACTACACTACAGCGGCCGACAACACTTTACTTAGCTATCCTCATATTCGTAGTTTGTTTTTTTTTGTTTGTTTTTCTATTAATTCAATGGCATTTACGGTCAAATGAGTGAAAACAAGTTGAGTTAATGGAAACCAGGGCTCGAATCGTAACATCCGTTCCCGGATCGAAAACGATACGAAAGAGAATTACGTGATGCGTCAGGCAGTATAAGCTGAATGGGACAAAGAGTACGTTCACGTATGTCATAATCCAAAAAACGTGTTTTTACGTGACGAGTCGTACGATATCGTATGTGGCGATTCGAGCCCAGCCTTTATTTACCCATACAGTCCAGTGTCTAGGATGTCTTCGAATTTCATATTTTCTTTAGATGAGAACTATAGCTATTTGACCCATATTCGCTTTTTGATTTCTGAAAATACATACATACATATATTTATAATGCTTTCAAAGTTACTTACGGCAATTTGAATATTTTCTCTAGACTTGCGGCACCTATTAAAAGGAA